GCAGGTTGCCTTCTCAAGGTTCACATGAACGGCCGAGAATCTTGCTTGCAGTTAAATCCCAGATATACGGCAATTTTAGGGTTTAGGGTTTAGGCCTCAGGTTTCCTGAAATATGTAAGGAGCCGTTCCATAATGAGGGCCCGCCCATCGTTGCAGGCCTGTTCTCTATTTAAGGGGCATTCCTCGAGGTTTTTGTGTATTTAAAAGTGGGTGTGGGGGTTTCGGGGTGCGCATGTCGTGGCTCCTCAGGCCCACTACGATCCTGCGATGTGATCAGTTCGTCATCCACGCCATGGACAGTTGGCTTCCATAATCAGCCCTAGAAATCGCACATCCCCTCAATCTCTGCTGGGCCAACAGCCCGAAAAGGCATTTCATCCCCAACGCAAAGCGAGGCCCTAAACCCTACCTGGACCCCCTTCATAAGGGCACGTGGGGAGGAAGGCCCGAAACCCTAAACCCTAAACCCTAAACCCTAAACCCTAAACCCTAAACCCTAAACCCTAAACCCTAAACCTTTCAAGGAGACAGAGCTCAAGCCTGAGATTCGGTCCAAGCGTGGCGAGGCATGCCCCTGTCCTAAAGCTGCCTGCGCGCGCTTTATGCACGACTTACAGGGTGTAGGGTTTAGGGTTTAGGGTTTAGGGTTTAATGTTGACTTCGCATTAATAACCCCCCCCCCCCCCCCCTTCATTGATCAATCCTTTCGGCCAGGGCCTCCTCAATAATATCCGCCTAAATCCTGGTAGGACGTAGTATTAGTTTTAGTATTAGGTAGTAGTACCACTAGTAGTACTAGTAGTACTAGTAGTACTAGTAGTAGCTGCGACAAGGCCAAGGCAGAGCGATTCTACATGAGGCAGCTCTGCTTCGATCTAGCTGTCACAGTGCCACCACAGTGGGCTAAGTGAGCCTCTACTGCGAGCCTTGGCCACTACAAAAAGAGTGTCTGCAGCCAGCAAGCTCTAAACTCATTCTCTTCCAACACCCTGAAACTTATCAGTTTAAGTTAGTTGCACAACATCGCCCGAAAAAAAAATCCGGGCGGGGATTTTATAATTGTGGCGGGTTACATTATTGTGTTCCGGGCAGCGGGATTTTATAATTTTAGCGGGCTTTATTAATGTCAAGTCAACATTAGGGTTATTGTTTTTGGTTTGGGAAACTCCCAAGAGTTGGAACATCATTGTCCTCATGAGAGTGTTACCACAAGGAATCCCCTCACGAATCGTCCTTAAGCCATGTTCCAACTTTAAGGCGTTTACCGTAGGGTCTAGGGCTGAGGTATGGTTTATCAGGGTTTAGATTTCTCTTATAGGTTGAGGGTTTGAGTAAGTTGCACTGTGTTGAGGAGCCGTTTCCGTAAGGTTTATTAGGATTCAGGGTCAAGCATGCAGAAATGCACTACGAGGCTGTCCAGGGCTTCGGGTCCGACTTCGGGTCCATATAAGGGTTCAGGTGTAGGGATCGGGGTATCAGGAGCTTCTGATGCCAAAGTAGCAGCGGCAGCTCATGTTGTGTGGTTTTGCCAGCCACAGCCAGGAGTATTTGTATGGGTTTTGCTGGGAAGCTCCGAAGACAACGGGCCTTTGGCGCTTCAGTTTTGCAGGGTTCCGATAATGGGGGGGGGGGGGGTGGGGTTGCCAGGAGTGCATTTGTGATGACGAGTCTTGCCGTCTTGCAGACATGTACACTCCGGGAGTGGCACTGTCCGTCTACATACTGACCCCGATCCCCTAAACCCTAACTAACCCCTGGGGTTAGAAACCGAAACCTGCGCACCAGAAACCCTAGCCCTAACCCCTTGCCCCAAGAAGTGAACGCTGAAACAGAAGCCTTAGAACCCAATCACCAGCCCTTTCGCATTTTCCGTTGTTGTCAGGTGTTGTGTGCTGTGTGCTGTGTGCCGCGTGCTGTGTGCTGTGAGCTGTGGGCTGTGTGCCGCGTGCTGCGTGCTGTTGTGCGTTGTGCGTTTGGGGCTCTTGGTAGAGCCATTTCATGTCAATTCTGTTCTGTCGGGGTGGGGGAGAGAGGGAAGGCCTTTTTGGTTCCCTTGAGGCCTTCGCATTTTTGGGGGCAACTACGAAGCCTCGTTGCCTCATCTCCCTCCTGAACCCTGAACGCTCAACCCGGGACCCTAAGCCCGAAGCCCTGAAGATTTCCTGCCAGCGGGGCAGCGCATCCTTGTGGGAGGTGCTTCCCGCCGAATCGCACCAAGAAACGACCTTTCAAGTGAGAAGGCCGAGCAGTTTGGGCAATTAGGGCTTAGGGTTTAGGGTTTAGGGTTTAAGGTTTTCCAAACCAGAGGGCCCTAAACCTTCACCGCCATGAACGGATCTCCACATCCAAAGGGCCCTTTTGGGTCGCGGTTATGAACTAAGGCATTCCTTGGTAAAGGGCGCGAGGGAGTCTAAACGGGAATGATGATGTGGGGAAGGGGGTTGGTCAATGGCTGCCGGTGTCTGATGTTTACTCGCCCTCCTCGTCTTCTGCCACGCTTAACTATGTCGGTAACGATTACTGACAAGTTGCGGCGTTCAACTCCGCACCTTATATCCTGAGCCCTGAGCCCAGCTCCTACACCCTCAGCCTAAGCCCTGAGACTCTCTCATTCCCTTGGGTTTTTGCGTCGAATTCCGCTTCGGAGTGGGTCCCATGAACTCCCACCTACTTGTAGGGTTTAGGGTTTCCTGACTCGGGATGAGGGCTTCGGATTTCTGCGCATGATATTTATACAGGACCACTGTAGGGTTCAGGGCTTCTCCTCATCTCTCAACCCCAACCCAAGATGGGGGTTTCCGAAAATGGGGGTAGCCTTTTTGGGGGGGGGGGTTCCAATAACAAGGTTTTTACTACGTTGAAGGTATATGAAGGTTACCCCTATTTGGGGAAATGCCCGCATGGAGAGGCGCGCGAGCTCCCGGTTCTTGCAACTTAGGCTTCGTGCTGAACCCATCGCTGGTCTGCTTCAACCTCAAGAGTCTGCACCAGCCTAAACCAAAAACCCTATATAAACCCTAAACCCTATACCCTAAACCCTAAACCCTCAGCCACCCATAAACCACAAGCGGCCCCAAATCCCCAGACCAAAAACGGCCCTAAGCCCCTAAGCCCTTAAACAAATACGGCCATGAACCCTAAACCCCAGAAGCGGCCCTGAGCCCTAAACCCCCTAAACCGACTCCAAACCCAAAACCCGCAAGCCAAAGAAGCAAAAACGCTAAACCCTAAACCCTAAGCCCCTAAACCAGAAACGGCCTTAAGCCCTAAACCCCCTAAGCCATAAAAAAAAAAAAGGCACCCTAACACCCAAACCCTAAACCTAAAGCCCAAGGGAATATTTAAAGCATGTTTTTTTTTGGTTCTAAGTGGAGAATAGAAACCCCTAAACCCTAAACCCTAAACTTCTCGAAACTCCCCGAACCTCCTCGAAACTGTCCCCGGACCTGAACCCTTAATAATTTCAATACACCCAAACCCTAAACCCTAAACCCTAAACCCTGGCTAAACCCTAAACCAAAAAGGCCCGAAAGGACCAGGAGGTGCCCCAAAGTGCCAGGCCGGAGCCCGAGCCGGAGGCCTTCGAGGGAGTTGCCGGGCCCTCGGTTGAGGGGTGTTGAGGGTTTCTTAGGCTGGGTTTAGGGTTTAGGGTTTAGGGTTTAGGGTTTCTAGGGATACTTGGAATAATTTTCGAGTTATTGGGTATTACAATTTTTAAGAAACAGCGAACAGTGTGTTTTTTGTTAGGGTTCCAAGATTAGGTTTGAGGGTTTTAGGGCTTGAGGGTTTGAGGGTTTTAGGGCTTGACTATTTCAGGGCTTGGGGGCTTGAGGGTTTGAAGGGTTTGAAGGGCTTGAAGGGCTTGAAGGGCTTGAAGGGCTTGAAGGGCTTGAAGGGCTTGAAGGGCTTTGGGTTTTGGGATGTAGGGGTTTTTGGTTTTGGGGTTTAGGGCATTTTTGCGTGTTAGAGTTTGGGGCATAGTGTGGTAGGGTTTTGGACTCCATAGGGGTTGTGAGTTTAGGGTTGCGGCTTGGAAGTTTGGAAGTGCAAGTGCTACCCTCAGTTTGTCATTTAGGGTTTAGGGTTTAGGGTTTAGGGTTTAGGGTTTCTCAACGGCCACAGGAAGCAAGCTGCCAAACCTGCCAAACCAAAGCAACGCAAGATATCTGCGGGACGAGATGCTTCTGCATCAGTTGGCTTATGCACCCTAGAGTGGGCTCCCTTTTCTTACTAGGTTGCTGACGAGCCTCGTTTTGGGGTGAGAACGGTTTGGAGTTTAGGGTTTAGGGTTTATAGGGGTTCCTGGTTACAGGGCTTTGGGCTTTGAGGCCTTTGACTGGGGTTTATCCTTTAAGGCTTTAGGGCTCTAGGGCTTCAGGGCAGACCCTAAACCCTAAACCCTAAACCCTAAACCTAAACCCTAAACCCTAAAGCCTAAAGCCTAAACCCTAAACCTAAACCCCGGAAGGCCTCCGAGTTTTTTCCCTTCAACCTTGCTGAGGAGCCGAAGCCCTCGATGCAACACTGCAAAACCATCAAGAACTGACCAGGGCTTGACTTAACTATCATGTCTGCTGTTACTATGTTACTATATATTATAAATTCGATATTGGACTACATATATACACATATGATATATATATATATATATATACATACATAAATATAAATCTCCATACATATACATATACATATACATATATATATATATGTATATATATATATATTACAGACGAAAGAGGGATCCCTAAACACTTAGCCCTACGCCGGGTTTAGGGCCTAATTCCGGTTCCTGCAAAGATGTTGCGTTGAAGTTGGACGAGATATCCCCACCAACGGGATGCCCCTAGGTCAGCCTCGTAGCCTGAAAACCGAATTAACCCTTTAGGGTTTAGGGTTTAGGGTTTAGGGTTTAGGGTTTAGGGTTTAGGGTTGAACTGCTGCTCCATGGCTCACATCGGCAGCACGGTAGTACTTCTCGTGCAAACGACCGAACCGGAATGGCCCACGTGGCTGGGAGCTTCCTGCTGCAGTTGGCACTGCAGGCCTCTCGGAAGAAATTTCTACAGAGCAGTTCTTTTGCGTGTATCTCTATACAAGAAAGAGGGAATGGTGTGATCGTCCATCACTTGCATTTTTCAAGCCATCCGCCGCCGTGATCGAAGTTCGTTCCTCGCGGAGCTTGGGCGCAGTTGGGTGTTTCATGTTCTATGAACGCATAGTTGCTGTTTCTCCCGGCTCTTGCTAGAGCACTGTGGCCAATAGTTGCTGCAGCCTCTTGTGATCTACATATATGTTGTGTTCACTATGGTCCTTCCCGAGGTTGAACATCTCCTGCCGCAGGATAATGCCACGGTGCTTTGCTCCCCCGGCGATGAGGAGCCTAAGAAGGGCTTCTGGAACCTAAGATTAGGGTTTAGGGTTTAGGGTTAATTAAGGGGACCTCCGCACAAACTCCCGAAACCCCAGAAACCTGCGAAGGCTCGCGCTGAATACTGGGCATTTGGCCATGGCCACTGGACGATGAAGGAGGGCTGCGCCGTGGCACATCGAAAAAAGGCCAGGCACCGGATTTCTTACTATAAACAAATGAATAAATATGATATATATATATATAAGGGATTACACAGGGTACCTCATTCCCCCAAGAAAACAAGGCCAGGCACCGGATTGAGGCTGAGTGGTTTAGGGGTTTAGGACCTTCAGGGTTCAAGGTTTGATGGTCTCTAGGGCTTATAAGAGTTTAGTCTCTTTCTTTTTTTTTTTTTTTTGGGGGGGGGGGGGGGGTGGGGGCGGTTGGGGTTTAGGGTTTTTGTAGAGACTTTGATGTCCACTTGTCGTCAAGCTTGGGATGTGGCGGGGGCTCCTCAGATGTCTGCAAGTCCCAAGGCCAAGTCCCAGAAGTCGGGAGGAATGTCGGTAGTTCGCTAGATGACTACTATTTGCTTAAGAACACACGCAAGAAAGCACAAGTTACTCTTCTTTATAAGGGCAACATAGGGATTTGTACTTTTTGTTGTGGGTTCGTATAGGCAAATAGTAGATTAGCGCGCTTTGGGTCCTCATTTTCAGGGCGCTGTACTATACATACGACTTAGAAAAGAGGTTTTAATTAAGAGAACTACCCAGCACCTCGGATCCGACAGGACTTTGCCTACTGGAGCAGCACCTGGGCTGCTGGCCTCACGGCACTGAAAGGTGGGTGGGGCGCCGGGGTGGATCAAGGATACATTTAAGTGGCGATCAACGACCTGGGTTGGGGTGGTATCTAAAGCTCAAGTCAGGACGACGCATGTCCGACCAGGGCCGCACGTTGTCCTGCTTAAATCCTAGAGAAGCCGTAAAGTTGGACCAAGGGTGTTGAGGGCATCTCGGCGACATCGGGCGTTCTGGGGATGTTGTCAGGGTATCTGCCGCTTGCCGTTGGCGGCAGCGTCCGTAAACGGCCCTCGTGGCTTGGGCTTCCGGACTCCTGCACGTCGCCGGGAAAGGGGGGCCGCATCCTGATTCGTGCAGCTCGAAACACAAGCATCGCACTGTCAGTTGGCGTCCACGCTGGCAGAATGCCTTTATGCCACTGTCTGCATTGCCATGTCCAACAATCCACAGTTAGTTTTCAGTATTCGAAACCCCGCTACAGGCAAGCGACTGAATTGCAGTTGCTCGTCGTTCAGGGCACTTACAACCCCAAGTATAACTCTCCTCATCAGCCTCCCACGTCCTCTGAGTAGGTTAGAAGTAGACTTTTAACTGCCACCATTTGCTTAAGAACCCCCCCCCCCCCCCCCACAAAAAAAATGACAAATCTTCTTGCGCATAAAAGCAATATTGGAATTTTATCTTTCATGTTTTTGTGGGGGGGGGGGGGTTCTGAAGCAAATGGACAATTTTTTGGGGGTTAGCAGTACCCATGAACCTCCAAGTGGCAAGTCGGATGGACTACTAGGACCCTGAGTCGGCCCTTATTTTAGGGTTTTGGGTTTAGGGTTAGGGTTTAGGGTTCAGGGTTAAGGGTTTAGGGTATTCCCTTTTTTTAGGGTTTGGGTTCCCTTATGGAAACCCCTCTAAACCAAAAAGGGCACCCTTGTTATGCCTAGGTTACTCCTGGGTCTAGGCAACGCCGCAAGGAAGCGAGCGTCCCATCCAGGGCTGCAAGGGCTTTTACCCTGATTGGTCAAACAAAAAGGCACCTGCCAGGGTTTAGGGTTTAGGGTTTAGGGTTTAGGGTTTAGGGCTATAGGGTTTAGAGCTGCCCGACCTGGCTTGAGCCAAAATGGCTACCAAAGGTATGGCGGGCATGCGGGCGTTACGCTAGGGGGTTGTAAGTCCTAAGCCCTCAAGCCCTACACCGTACCATAGGGGTCGGAGAAGTTAGTAATAATATTTCCTTATGGACCCCTACAGAATTCTATGATAATACCCTCCCAAAGAAACCCTATTCCAATTTTATTAAGGCGCCTATACTAAGCTGCTCAAGCCCTAAAACCCTAAACCCTGAACCCTAAACCCTAAACCCTACACCCTAAACCCTAAACCCTAAACCCTAAACCCCTGTAAGCTGCTCCAGGCAGTCCCAGCTACAAGGATCCTGCCATCCACACAGCCGACGGGGTGTACATTTTCGATGCTGAGTTCTGCAGCCTGTTACGTGCTGGTAAGGAACCTGTTTAGGGTTTAGGGTTTAGGGTTTAGGGTTTAGGGTTTAGGGTTTAGGGTTTAGGGTTTAGGGTTTAGGGTTGAAACCCTAAACCCTAAGCCCTAAACCCTAAACTCTAAACCCTAAACCCTAGGGAGTTTTGGGGTGGCGTAGTTCCAGCAAGCCTTCCGCTGGATTCTTGTGTGGGTTTCTGCGAAGCAGCGAGGCACAGTGAATGGCTTCTTGGATTTGCCGAACAAGGCGCAGCTGTTGCAGAACTACTCCGCCATCATGGAGATGGAGGACATGGGTTTGGGGTTTAGGGTTTAGGGTTTAGGGTTTGGGGGTTGGGGGTTAGATGGTAAGACGGGTCTGATGACAAGGGCTCGGCATAGAGTACGGTACTGTTTATCGGACGCTGGTGCTGTAGAGCTTGAAGCCAAAAAGTCCTAGTCCATGTTATAAGCCTTCTAAATTTGCCCTCAACTTGGAACAGAACTTTATATTTGCATGTATCCCAACCATGGTAAATTGCCTTCAGTTCCTTAGCAGATGAGGCGGGTGTCAGGGTTTCCGGAGGAGCGCGCCTGCAATTCCGAGCCTCTGCAGTCCCTGTCTGCGAGTGCTCATACCTCAGCCCTTCGAGAGGTGTCGTGGGATGCATCTGCCCGTCTCAGGATTTAGGGTTTAGGGTTGAGGGTTTAGGGTTTAGGGTTTAGGGTTTAGGGTTTCGGGCCTTCGACCCTCCGACCCTTCGCCCCCAGCCCCCCCAACCCGACAAGAGCCTCAAGTAAGGCGGTCGCCATGTTCAATGCCGAGGGAGAGAAAGACGCGGCCATTCGAGGGGCACCCTTCTTGGAGACTGGCGTCCTGGAGCGCGTGAACGCTGAGCACTGCACCAAACGAAGGTCTCTGGGACCTGACATCTGCTTGCTTGCAGTTTTTTTTACAAGAGCCGAACGCCCAAAATAAAGCCCTAAACCCTTAGCTGAGCCCTGAACCCTTAAACCACCATCTCATGAACCTGAGGCCGCTGAGAATGTTGGGGGATTTGGGACTTTGCAGAAGCTTCCACCAAAACTTAGGGTCACGCGGAGGGTTTAGGGCTTACCAATAGGGTTTGAGTTCTGTGTTGGCTCTATTTGTCCTCAGTTCATACTGATGGCAATAAACCCTAAACCCTAAACCCTAAACTCTGGCTGAAAGAGCGCTTCTGGACGATACCCCCAGCCTGCTCCTGAATTGTTCAGGTACAGCTGCATGATACATTTCTGCTTAAACAACTTCTGCAAGCTGAGTGTCTCAGCTGCATGCTGGCAGCTTATGAAGACTGCTGCAACGAGCCTGGACAGCCGTAGCTTTAGAACGTCATTGCGGGCTTTTACGAAGTTAGGAGACTTCACGATATATATATATATATATATATACAGATAATGCAAAACATACAAGTAAGTGTACAGATATACATATATACATATGTATTTACATACACATATACTTATACTTATAAATAAATAAATAAATAAATAAATAAATAAATAAATAAATAAATAAATAAATAAATAAATAAATATACATATATATATATACATACATACATACATATATGTGCATACACGAACCGTGGCTAGGTCCTTGCCTTTCGGGCTCTACCCTGCATCCTGCGTTCTCGATCCCCCGAGGTGATGGCCGAGTGGGGCAGGGCTGCCAATGCCGCAAAGACTTCAGATTGATGCCGGTGCCTACGTCAGGTAGGGTTTAATGGCTTAGGCTTAGGGGGTTTATGTACAGGGTTTCATGGTTTAGGTGGTGGGGTTTATGGGGTTCAATGGTTTAGGGGTTTATATGGTTCGACAGTAGTTCCAGTCATTGATCGATGATTGCACGGTTCACAAGCAGGCTGAGGGAAGGGATCGTGAGGCTCTACCGTCATATTGGGTCCCTAAACCCTGAACCCTGAACCCTAAACCCTAAACCAAAAACATAAAGCAGACAGCGCAAGAAGTCATGCTAGAGGATTCGGTTCTGACGCTCACGGCCCCCGCATGAACCCTTCTCTCAAAACGTCGCACAGAACAACTGCCAATCCGGCATCCAAGACTCCGATTTACGGGTCGCAAGCTCCTGCAGCTTTCAAGCATGAACAGGCGAAGCCTCCTTCGGCCACGGAGTGCACTAAAATTTGTCGCCACGCTTGCTTGCGATAGCCTGGTCGTCGGGATCTATTTCGTCTGGCTGCCCGCAGGCTTTTTTGAGTCGTATAAAACTCTCCCGGCCAGCGCGCAGTAAAAAACAGACGGGAAAGGCCGAGGGGCTTAAGGGTTGCGGGCAAGATGTTCGCAGGATTCTGGTTTGCAAGTCAGGTTTTCGACAGGTTGGAGCAGACTGTTTTTCATGGTCTACAATGCCTAGCAGGATGTGGACTTTATCCTAAACCCTAAACCCTAAACCCTAAATCCTAAACCCTAGGAATTCCGGACCAGGTCGAAGAAAGGGTTTGAGAATCACGGAGGAGGTGACGGCGCCGACTCTCCTGCCCCGGATTCACGGGAGCCCCTATACCCCCGATGACAACCCCTGACGTCTAAACCCTAAGCCCTAAACCCTATAAGCCGCAAGCCCTAAGCCCTAAGCCCTAAGCCCTAAGCCCTAAGCCCTAAGCCCTAAGCCCTAAGCCCTAAGCCCTAAGCCCTAAGCCCTAAGCCCTAAGCCCTAAAGCCTAAGCCCTAAAGCCTAAGCCCGAAGCCCTATTCCTTAAACCTTGAGCCCCACCAAAACCCTAAACCCAACTGGCTAAAGCCATAGGGATATCAGCCGTCGCACTGCTGAGGCAGACCTCCCTTACCAAGCTTGCCCGCGAGGCGCGCCGACCCTCAAACACCCTGGCAGCGGTTGAGGGGTCAGGGTTAGAGTTTAAGGTGTCAGGGTTTAGATTTAGGGTTTAGGGTGTAGGGTTTAGGGTTTAGGGTTTAGGGTTTAGGGTTTAGGGTTTGGTGCTTAGAGTCGCCTCAGGGAGCCTCTTTTTGTCTAGCATAAAACCTAAGGAAAGATCAAACACCCTAAACCCTAAACCCCAAACCCTAATTAAGGAAAGATCAAACACATTCTTTTCGTGTCCAAGGGAAGTGCAGTTCAGGGTGTAGCGGTCTAGATTGAGTGTTTCGGGTGACTTGGAAGGGTTTAGAGCTTAATTCGGGCGCAATGTGGATTTCGTGCACAGAGCTTATAAGCACTACGCCCTATATTGAGAGCTCGATCCGTTTTGCTGCAGGCTTTAAATTTTAGGGGTTAGTCTCAACCCTAAGCCCGAAACCTTACTTGGAATTTCATGGGTACCCCTACTAAAAGCCCTGCTTATACTCCAAGTAACCTTCGTGCGAAACAGGAGGCTTGTCGCTTGTGCCGTCCGTGGAGTTCGATGCCTGCGCGACACTCGCGCGGGCAACAAGTTCACCTGGTTTGGGGTGGGTGCCGTGTTTGTTTGAAGGCTTTAATGTGGTTCCTTGTGGGACTAGGTATACGCGGGGTTTTGTCATTTACTGCCTTACTACGTAGGATTGTTCGGGTAGGGTCAGGGTTTAGGGCTTCACGGACTGTAGGTTTGCACGAGCATCGCAATTAGGTGCGGGTTCGTGTTCAGTTGGTTGCATGCCTGAACCCTTAGTAGCTAAGTCTCTACAGTGTAGTATCAATGCTTCTCGTAATGTGAGAGCCCAAAACCCCAAACCCCTAAACGCTAAACCCTACACCCCCCGCATCACAGAAGTTTTTGAGCACTCTTAAACGCTCACAAAGACCGTACCTCAGAGGGAGCTGCTGAAAATCCCGTACTCCTCTTGCGCCTCCGCATCGCTGAGTGCCCTCGGGAGTACTTAGCCCCAGGTGGTCCTTACAGGTGGGAATGTTCGAAGGGACTTTGTGGTTGATCATACAATCCCAAAGAGCGCTATCCCGAATCTGTAAAACCTGCAGACTCAACTCCCTGAGTCCGAAGCCCGTAACTCTCCGTTCAATGAATAGTCCGAAGTCCTGAATTATCTCTCTCTCAGGCCGAAGCTCCAACACCCTAAGTTCCCTCAACTCCCTAAACCCTACTGCCTCAGGTCCCTCCACTCTCGAAGCCCGAAACCCTCAACTCTCGGAACCCTTCAGCGCCCTCAAGCAAATGGACTCTTTACAAAAGAGCCGAGGATGGTTGCGCGAACCGACATCAAGCTGCTAACTCCCCAGATCGAGCTGGTAGAGGCCCTCAGGGTTAGGGCTGAGGGCTTTGGGTTTAGGGTTAGGGTTTAGGGTTTAGGGCTTAGGGTTTTGGGTTTTGGGTTTTGGGTTTTGGGTTCAGGGTTCAGGGTTCAGGGTTTAGGGTTTAGGGTTTAGGAGTGGGCCCAAGCTGAGCACCCTGATCTTCACAAGGACAGTTTGAGAAGCTTCGCTTGAAGCTTCGGAGGGTTTAGGGTATTCACAGAGCTTACAGGGTGGCACACGATTCTTAAACCCTAAACCCTAAACCCTAAAACCTAAACCCTAAACCCTAAACCCTAAACCTAAACCCTGAACCCTAAACCCTAAACCCTAAACCCTGTAACTTGAAATTATTAAGAAAAATCTTAAAAACGAAACTCCTTGAAACTCCTCGAAACTCCTCGAAACTTCCCCGGACCTGAACCCTTAATAATTTCAATAAACCCTAAACCCTAAACCCTAAACCCTAAACCCTAAACCCTAAACCCCAAACCCCAAACCCCAAACCCCAAACCCCAAACCCTAAACCCTAAACCCAACCTCAAGCTTGGGGGATGGGTTTGGGTCCACGGTTTTTTGGGTTTAGGCTCTCGGTGCGTGTGTGAGAGAGAGAGAGAGAGAGAGAGAGAGAGAGAGAGAGAGAGAGAGAGCCGATCTGCAGCGGCGCATTGGGGAGGGGGGGGGGAGGCGGAGGCGGGGGCGGGGGGTTACAGAACCCACCCACCCCCCACCAAAAAAAGTAAAAAACAAAAATAATAATAATAAATATATATATATATGTGTACAAATGAAGAACATAGAAAAACAAGTGCACAGACAATTCGCGTCATCGGGCACCTTCTTTTCCCTACCCGTTGCCCTGATAGAACTCGAACCTAGGAAATGCATACAGAAAGCCGTTCATCAACATCAAAACTGCACTGGCGAATGATGAGTGGTCACAAGGACTGCACGTGCCGGAATCTAAGGGGTGTGTGCTAGACCAGCCGCTTTGCGTGCAATACAAATACTCAAGGACACCACCCCGACCGGTTCACGCGCCCGTGCGACAAAAACCCATCCAAATGTGCGCAACAGAAGTTCCAGACGCCTTTGCGGCTTGAACACCAGATTGAGCTGGCGCACCACTTTGGGTATGATCTCGCAGCATGTTGCAATCAGCTCATCCGTTTGAGAGCCTACTAGGGTGGCCAAATCAGGAAGCGAGGAAGCATCAGCATCAAGCTGGCACGGTCCAATCATCCCGTCAAGAGCAGCCACGTTTAGCGGGGCACTCTCATCGAAGGCAGCCTTATCCCGGACCGATGGCAGGCCAGAGCTTGAACTCCGCACAAGCGCCAAGAGCTCGTTTTCAACCCGGGCAAGGTCAGCGTTTGCGGGGGCATCAGCCTCCATGTCAGCATCGGGGAAGAGCGGAGCAGAGACATCCACAGTAGGGAGCGGTGGCACATGAGGACGGGCCTCCATTGCCCCTCCCCCGAACACTGCAGCCTTCCTTGGAGGTGAAGGTCCAGGCGGGACGGAACTTCCACCACCCAGCGCGACTAAGACAGCGGCACGATTCTCCGGAGACAGATTCCCCATTGCAGCGATGATATCACCAGGGCTTGCCTCATGCACACGCTTAGCCGACGAAGAGGTAGGAGTATGTGGCATGGACCTTTAGGGTCTATTTGGCACGCCGCTTTGTTTACTATTTACCAGAGGTTTGTCGTATATCCCCTCCCTTCGTCCCTTCGTGTTGTAAGGGTTTTGTAAGGGCTTTGGAGGTTTGTGTGCTTCCCCTTTCTCGTTCATATAGGTTTTTGGGGGAGCATCAAAATGATTATCATATGATGTGTTTCCGTGCTCGTATTATGAGGGCTAGTGCCTGCCCTAGAGGTTTGTCGTATGTCCCCCCGCTTCGTGTTCCTGTGATTTGGTAGGGGGCTAAAGGTTTGTCGTGTGTCCCCTCCCTTCGTCCCTTCGTGTTGTAAGGGTTTTGGGAGGGTCCTGGAGGTTTGTCGTATGTCCCCTTTGTTCATGCTTGTAGGGTCTGGGGAGTGTGTAGATGATAATCACATATCATGTGCTTCCGTGCTCGTATTATGAGGGGCTAGTGATTGGCCTGGAGGTTTGTCAGATGACGCCCCCGCTTCGTGATCCTGTGATTTGGTAGGGGCCTAGAGGTTTGTAGCGTGTCGCCTCCCTTCATTCCTTCCTATTGTAAGGGTTCTGTGAGGGCCCTGGAGGTTTGTCGTATGTCCCCTTTCTTCTTGCTTGTAGGGTTTGGGGAGCATCTAGATGATAGAGGTTTGTCGTATGTCGTCTCCCTTCGTCCCTTCGTGTTGTAAGGGTTTTGTGAGGGCCCTGAAGGTCTAGGGCAGTTACTAGCCCCTCATAGTACGAGCACGGAAGCAAATGATAATGACAATCATCTAGACGCTGCCCAAATCCCACAAGCACGAAGAAAGGGGACATGCGGCAAATTTGCAGGGCCCTCACAAAACCCTTACAACAAGAAGGGACGAAGGAAGGGCA